ATATATTTTTTTTTTGGTACTGGGGATCGAACTTGGGACCTTGCGCTTGCGAGGCAGGTGGCAGAACCACTGAGCTAAATCCCTGGCCCTGAAACTATATTTTAATATATCACTGAAAATATCTGGACAGACTTCTTTCCATAAAAATTCTTCCATTTCTAAAGACTTAAAAATAGTGCTAACTACTGAATTTAAATAATTCAAATAGTTCAAACTACTCTAACTCTAATCTATCCTGTGTGTATCTGTAGTTTTTGTAAGAACAAGCAGGAAATCAGACTTTTAGGTGAGAAAACGAAGGCCCAATAACTTTTCTTGACTCTGTATGGAATGTGCTTTTTTTGTAGTACACAGCCTTTCTGTGGTTCTTATCCTTTTAAATTTTATATATGAGAAAACATTATGATATGTTTATTTATAAAAATAATTTGAAATAAAATTCTGCGGTAATCCTGAGATTTAACAAAGCTAGAGTTTACAATCACATTTCCAGTCTAAGCTGTCCTAAGATACTTGTGTTAATGATAAAGAAAGACTCAAGGTTTTCTTTTCCAACTCAGAATTAACTAGTTTCTATACATATTTCCCTGGGAAGTAATCTCTTAACATAATATGTAAGTCTTTTGTCTTTTAGCATGTTTGGATCTTCTTTTCTCATGTACATGGCATTTTCTTTTTCTTTCTTTTCTCTTTTATTCCTTGTTTCTGTGCTGTCAGAATTAGATAGCTTTAGCCAAAGAGTCTCTAGGTTGGAGCGCTCTTGAGTCCACATTCTTTCGGTCACATTCCTGCTGCACCAGGGATGCATCAACTTTCCTTCACCACAGAGGCAATGTAACAGCATCATATTTAAGGGTTAAATATGGAGCCACAGTACCTAGATATGAATCACAGCTCTGCTGTTTACCGGCTGAGTGACCTTTTGCAAGTTCCCCTGTGATTCATTTTCCTTATCTGTCAAAAGGGGGATAATAGCATCTGTTTCGTAGGGTTGTTTTGAACATTTAGTAAATTCATTTAAATCCCTTACAATTCCTTGCATAAACACTAAGTATTAGCTATTATTATTAGTATTGTGGGATTTTTGCTATTGTATTCCAGAAAGTCATCTAAAGAATATCATTCTTCCTGGCTATATTCCTTTTAAGAGACCACAGCACTGCCATTGCACAATCACATACCAGAGGTTTTAATGCTAAGGACGTTTGACGATTCTTGAAAAAATATTTGTTTGGATAGATTTTTGCTTTAACATGTTAAATATTCTTTGTGATCACTCCTGATTACCTACCAAAGAGTTTAACCTGAAAATTTAATCATTTTAAGACTATTTCATAGATTTCTTTTTTTTTGGTACCGGGGATGGAACTCGGGACCTTGCACTTGCGAGGCAGGCGGCGGAACCACTGAGCTAAATCCCTGGCCCATAGATTTCTTAAAACATCATCATGCAGTACAATGAATGTATATACCTCTCCAATGTTGGGTTAACGTGATTAGATAGCTAGAAAGGCCAGAAGCATATTTTCCTATACCTTACCAGATTCATAACATGCTTTTATCATATTGGCATAATCACAAAAGAAAATATCAGTATTGAAATTATACTTTGGCTTCTGTTGTCTTGAAAACTGTACCTCAGATATACTTTGTACATTTCAGACACAGGTTTTCTAGATTATAAAATGTATAGCTATAGAGAGGTTGTCATTTTTTAGTTTTTTCCCAAAGTTATTCCTTTTGATATCTTCCAAATTTTTAAATAATCCCTTCAAAAAGAGACTCGATGAACTTTCCATCTACTTCATTTCTGGAAGTTTGATTTTTAAATTCAAACAAATTCCTCCTGAAGAAATGATTAATGGATAATCAATACATCCTGCTGCTGTCTCCCCAATAGAGCACCCACTAACAAAGCAACTGCTGCTTCTGGAGCCCTTCTGACCCCAGTTATTTTTCAAGTGAAGCTTATACCCAAAGAACTCTACTCATGTGCTCACCAGGAGTTGCTGTTCATAAGTCTATTATAACCTTTGTCATCCTGACTCCCATCTCACATTTCCATAACCACACCTCTATGGCAACAGGGCAGTAGAAAATCAGAAACACGGTACAGACCATCTTTAAGTCACAACAGGGTCCACAAGGTACATTCTTCAATGTCGTTTCTATCCCCTCACCCCAAAGACATTTCCCTAGTAAATAATTATAAAAGGTAATGCTTTACTACATAGTACAACTTTTGTGAGCATCTATGGAAATCATTCATTATAAAGAATGGAAATTCTTTGAGGGCCTAGAATTTTGTCTATTTATCTCCATCTGCAGCACATGCTAAAGTTCATTATTTTTATTGATTGAATCGTTAATTGATTGATTGCAGTACTGGGGATTGAACTCAGGGCCTTCACACTGACCTAAATACCCAGCCTTTTTTAATTTTTCTTTTTAAATTTGAGACAGGGTTTCATTAAGTTGCTAAGCTGCCCGGGCTAGGCTTGAACTTGTGATCATCCTGCCTCAGCTTCCCAGAATGCTGGGCTTACAGGCATGTGACACCACATCTGGTTGTAGTCTATAGTCTATTATTTGTAAGGTGCCATCAATTACAAGTTGCATTTAAGCAAAAATATGAAAAGCAAATGTGTATTATACAAACCATGAAATACAGTAACACTAACTTGTACATAATCAGTGCTTAATAAATTCTTACTGAATTGAAATAACTATCTATCTATCTATACATATATTTTTGTTTGTTTGTTTGTTTGAGACAGGGTCTTTCTGTGTAGGTCTGGGTGGCTTTGAACCAGCCTGGCCTTGAACTCATGGCAATTCTCCTGCCTTAGCCTTCTGAGTGCTCAGATTATAGGTGTACCACCATGCCTGGCCCAAAATTGTATTTTTTAAAATATTCCTTGTGAAAATATTTTGAGGCCCAGCTAACCTACTTACATACCAGTCTTATGCAGGGGGGACTACAATTTAGGATTGCCAGTATTTCTCACAGTCCATTTGAAAACAATGGAAGTTCTCTAGAGTTGGATGTTTCAATCCAAAGGCAAATCTATTTCTCTTTTCTCTCTCCTTACCTCATCAATTAGTTTCCTGGCATTTGCAATTGTATAATCACCAGCAAATAATACCACTAAGCATGATTCATCACTGTTCTTCTGTCTCTGACCCCGGGATATGGGAACGATGCTTCTATTGGCTTCTGTGGAAACACGGACACCTCTGAGTTCCTCAGCAGTAGGAATAGGAACATAGTCCTGAACCACAGCATTTTCTGGAAGAAGGCTCCAGTTGAGTTCTCCTGACACAGGTGTAAAGTCATGAACGTTACTCCACGTGTTATTGAAGATACTTAGCCCTGCATCTTTGAACTGGGAAGCTAATTCAGGGTAGTACCACTGAAAACAGCCAAATTTGATATTTGTAGATGACTCAATAATGGGTTGAGTGGCACAGCACAAAAAGACTTCCAGCTTTCTACAATCCCGAACACGAAATTGTTGGCAAGCTAATGTGCACTTGCAATCTCTGCAATTCCGGAAAAACACACTGCCTTTCACAGGTCCCAGAAAAATTATACAGTTAGTACAGTCATCAATGGTAACTGCAGCAGAGTGATCAAAAATATAGATGTTGCAGTTCTCACAGTCTTGAATGAAAAACTGTTGTCCAGCCACTTTCCCAGGTAAGCGACCTACTGTTTCATCTTTCAGCCCATTGAACATGTAGTCTTTTATATCAACCTGCAGGGACAAAGCACAGACCTTAAGTATTATTAACATTATCCAAGAAAATCAATTAAGTGCCTATTGAGTGTCAGGTACAATTCTTAGAGCTAAATAAGTTCCTAATCTTTGCAACATAGTAAGGAAATAAACAGGACAATTTTTTTCTCCCAGTAAATAAAAGTCATGAAGGAGGGAAAAGGGAGAAGAAACTGTCACAGGTAAAGGCTCAAAGACATATCCACCAAATACAATGTGTAGACATTGTTTGGACCTTACTTCAAACATACAGCTATAAAAAGTTTTCGAGGCAACTGGGGAAATTCACACATAGTACACAGCATATCAGATAATATTAAGGAACTTTTCATTTTGTTAGGTGGAGGATGGCATTGTGGTTATAGGGGGGAAAGGAATTTATCAATTAAAATTTTAATTGTTTAAAAATTATAAGCCTAGGGCTGGGGATGTAGCTCAGTGGCGCCGGGCCTGTCTGGCAAACGCAAGGTCTTGAGTTCAATCCCCAGAACCGAAAAAAAAAATTATAAGCTTAATGCATGGCATATCTACAGGAAGAAAATATGCACCTGGAGGACTAAAGTGTTTAGTTTCTTTGACAACTATAGCTCTTATTATAAGACTTATAATCTTGTTTAATATATATTCAGCTCCCAGGAGATAGATCCACTTTCTCACCTATCGAATTTCATTTCCGGGCATATACAGCTAAAGAGCAGGGCTGTGTGTGGAGACATATGCATGCAATCCCAGCTACTTGGGAGAATGAGGCAGGAGGATCTCAAGTGCAAAGTCAGCCCGGGCTACATAGACTCTGTCTCAAACAAAACAAAAACAACTGAAAGACAGCCTGTGTGACAATAAGGTTTGAGTCTCCCCATGATTTAACCCAGGTGACACATTATCATTGGTACTGTCAATAGGCTTTTAGTGTATTTGGGTTGTATGATAATAAAAATTTATGTGGCACACAGGGTCAAAAATATATTTTTTACTGATTGCTAATAAAAATGTCCATGAAAATTCCACTCATTCCATATATCCATCTAGCTTTCTGATGCTTTTGCTTTTTTCTAATGCTTCACCTTTAAAACTTCTACTTTCAACAGTTTTGAAACTGGAAATAAAGCCATACAAAACATATTTCTCTATTCTTCCACAAATCAGCAGATGAGCCTGTTTCTAAACCCTAACTGATATCTACAATATGCTACAGAAAATGGTTAAGAATCATGTTAGTGTTGGCATCTACAAATTTTATTCAAACATTTATTGAGCTATGCCTACAGTGTAATTATTTAAAATTTTACTATTTCCTTCCTTAGGTAGTCTAAACAGTAGCTCACATAATCTTTTAAATAGCATGCTCTGAATATGACACATTAATTTTTTATTTTAACTGATCAAAATATAGTCATTAGGGCTGGGGATGTAGCTGAGTGGTAGACTGTGTACTTAGCATGCATGAAGCCCTGGGTTGGATCTATCTATCTAGTCACTAAAAGGCCATTCTGATTTCTTTCTAATGATTTTTTAATCTTCCTGAGCTGTTTGTGAATACATAAATTTCATGAAAAACTATTTATATAGCAGAAACAGGCTCCCATAGATATAGTATATAAAATTTGATTATTTACAAAGCAAAATGTAATTATCTTACTATCATTATCAAACTAGCTTAAAGTGATTTATTCAGTACTGCACAATAAATATTGTATTTATTCAGTTTTATATAATGTGCTAGGGGGAGTACTGGTTTGTAGCATGAGGGAATAAGAGGTCCTTGGTTTCCAGCCTCAATTTTGTCACCTATGAGCATCATGATCTTGAAAAAGTTTAACTTTCTGTATCTTTAGTCAATCAAACAACATTTGAACATCTAATATGAGCCAGACATTGTTTTAGGCACTAAAATGAATACGATCAGCTCTCTCCCTAAAAAAAAGTAAATACTTACCTGAATAAATCATTTAAATCATGTAATCAGAGTGCTGAGAAAATTCTGGCAATACAGAAGAAGGACACCTGGAGGGGACAGAAGACTTCCTACACAAAGTGAGGATGACTAAGTTAGAGTTTACCAGGTAAAAGGGGTAAGAATAAAGGAATAGCCCTCCTCCACACATCAGACAAAAGTAACAATGAATCAAATAAAACTTTCCAGGAAGCAGGAGGAAAACCTGGTCTGAGGATTTAACACATTCCTGCCAGCTTGAACCCCGAGTGGTACATGCACTACTGTCGTTGACCACTGGTGGTTCAGAGCCACTCGGCAGCGATATGTACGGATCACAGCCCTGTTGTGAACATGTTGAATAAGCTAAATTTATATTTCAGGAAGATTACTATGATAAGAATAAGGAACATTTGAACATGGATTTGAGAGGCTGATCCAGAAAGGGCTGGAACTAGAGCAGTAGTTAGAAGAAGAAGGGATGAATTTGAGAAATATTGAGGAAACAGAATCAGAAGATTTGGTACTTCAGTGGCTATAGGTGGTAAGGCAGACGAGTCAAACATGATTTCTCTTAGGGAAATGATAATTCCCTAGTCTAATGTTTCTAAACGTTTTATTACAACCCACATTAATACATTCATCGCCACAGCCCATCACACACAGACCTATCAGTATTTGTGGACTAGGGATGGAGCTTAGTGATAGAGTCTTTGCCTAGCATGCACAAGGTCCTGGGTTCTATTGCCAGCACCATAAACAGAAAAAAAAGGCACCCAGATCCAGGAGTATTTGTGAATGCATATATAACAATGAATCAAGTTTCAAAAACAATACTTACCATTAGTTTGTGTCATGCTTCCTAATATTTTCTGTTATTCCTACCCACTGGTTTGATAAAACGTTGCTCTGCCTTATGTGATTCAATGCTAGTACTGGCATAAACAAAACAATAAATATAAGAGACAACATAAGTTTAATGTAAGAAGAGGTGTTCAAGCAATTCCATTTCTTGGACTTTATAGGTGACCCATAAATACAAAGATAAAGTGTTCCAGTTTGGTCTCTACCAAGATGGTAAACTAACATAGCTGCTGGCTCCACTGCCCATACCCAGCCTCAAAGGAACCAAGTTTTGAAAATCCAAGAAAGGGGAAAATATGACAAACTCCTATACTAGTGTGTGGGAGGATGAAACAAAAAGAGAACCTCTGGGATTTCTGCTCTTGCTTCCTTCTCTCCCAAATTTTGAGATAAATAGCTCTTCCCCACACCTTCTGGGACTCAGACCTCTGGTGCAGAATTCCTTGGGTAAAATTTCAGGTTAGGGAAGAAACGCTGTGTTGGTGGAGAGCTAGGAAAAACAGGGAGACTATCTAGGGAAGTTACTTCCCCTCCATGACTCTGTCAAACCCTGAGAACTGAGGGATTAAAAACCTAAGGAAAGGGGCTGGGATTATAGCTTAGTGGTACAGCACTTGCCTAGCATGATTGAGGCCCTGGGTTCAATTCCCAGCACAGTTAAATAAAATAGAATACAGGGCCAGGAATTTAGCTCAGTGGTTCCGCTGCCTGCCTCGCAAGTGCAAGGTCCCGAGTTCAATCCCCCGTACCAAAAAAAAAAAAAAGAAAGAATACAATCTAAGGAGTGTTTTCATATGCTGTTTCTTTCATTTATTGATAGAGCAAGTATGGCCCACAATTAAAATCAACAAATACATAAGATCTGAACCACACAATAACTAAGCTTGAGTTCTACATCCAACAAGTAGAGTAACCTATATTTTTCTTAAGCAAGTGTTAAAGATTGTTTAAAAAATCATGGACTAGCTCATAAAGAAAGCCTCAGAAAAAAATTTAAGTAATTGATAATTTAACAGATCATGGTCTGGGACCAATATGTAATTAAATTAAGAGTTAATAAAAATTACTTTAAAAAATTCCTCACCTACTTGAAAATTTCCAAAGTACTGCTAATAATCCATGGATTAAAAAGAAAATCATAAGGCCAGGGATGTAGCTCAGTGGCACTGGGCCTGCCCAGAAATCACAAGCAAAATCTAAAAATACTTACAATTAAATCTACAGACATCACATAGGAGAAAAGATAAAATCATAGCAGTGATTAATGATTTGGAAATCAAATATATAATATAGACTATCAGCAAAACCCAAAGTAGGTTTTTTTTAAATTTTGTTTTGTTTTGTACTAGGTATCGAACTCAGGACCTTGCGCTTGCCAGGCAGGCATGGCACCACTGAGCTAAATCCCCGGCCCCCAAAGTAGGTTTTAATAGGCAAAACTCTGGCAAGAATAATTTAAGAAGTTAGAAAACACAAACAATAATGAATTAAAAGCAGGATACAACTATAGAGGTTAAAAAGAGAATCCAACCATGTCCACAATTTTGAAAAGATTTGGTCCACAAAATGAACAAATCTCTTAAAAAGTAACTTACCACAACTAACTCGAGAAGAAATTAGAAGCTTAAAAAGCTATGACAAGTTGAGTATCTCTTATCTAAAATGGTTGGGACCAGAAGTGTTCCAGAATTGAGTTTTTCAGATTTTGGAATATTTGCATAGGCTTTATTGGTTGAGCAACCTTAATCTGAAAATCTCAAACGTCTTGTGTATCATGCAGTGCTCAAAAAGTTTTCAATTTCAGAGCATTTTGGATTTTCAGATTAAGGATGCTCAACATGTACTATTAAAGAAACAGAAGCAGTGCTGAAGTGCTCCAAAAACACTAGGCCCTGTTGGTTTTACAAGCTGATTCCAATTTTATTCAGCCCAGTCTTAAGCAATCCCTTAATGACAACAGAAAAAGCAGGAATAATCCTAACTCATGTTACTAGCCTGCTCAGCAAAGACACTAAGAAAACTAGACAGATATGTAACAAAAGCAGAAAACTCCTAGCCCATTTCACGCATGCCCACTCATAAAAAAAATCAGCAAATTAATTCTATAAACAAGTTAGATATATTCCAAGTTGTGTGAAAATGGTTCAGTATTAGAAAATCTGTAAGTAGAAATTATCAATCA